GGATCTGCGTCCAGCCTCTCAAAAGGTTTTAAGGACTTCATATACTAATGTTTCAAATCAGCACGTTGGACTCAATCAACGAATATACATTTTAACGAAACCAAAGGTAAATTATTTTCCAGAGATCTATGTGGGGGGCATCAGGTCCCAGAAATCTTTTGGTCAGTTTTTCAAAATCTACCCCTGGAATATCGTCAGGCATCATGTCTAACTGTGAATCGATAAAAAAAAGTCAATTTTGTAGGCGGCAGAAAAATAGTCTTTTCGGTCCTAATCCTTTTCATCGATCATTCTGCTAAATGAGATTAATCATTGAGCATAGTGGCGCGTTGCATAAGTGAGCACAGAGCAAGTACGAGTTCTCTCGAAAATTCAAGTTGCTGCTCCTGAGTCACCGGTTCTGTGAACATGAGAAAGATACAAGTTATAACCAAGGCAATCCTCAAAAAGATCTCCTAGTCGCATCGAATTATTTACAACTGTAACTATTTCTTGGAAAAATAGTCAGTTCCTCTAAGAAGTGTGCGATCTACTGGTTTCGACCCGCGAGGCTAGCGGAGCCTCGTGGCGACGGGCGAATAATGCAAGAATCTTCAAGACCTGCACGGATCGGGTGAGTACGAGTAATGTCAACACACGGGCAGTTAGAGGCGAGGCAAAGCAGTGGAATGAAACATACGGGGCTTGGGTGTGAGGGGAATGATGTGTACGGGACAGGCAAGGTGTGAAACCTTTCTTTGAGACCGTTTCGAAACGTGAAAAGTCATTAAAAGATTTGATTTGCTTATGCATTTAGGAGTTATTGCACGATAGGGACGATAAAAATACGAACCATATGTTCATTTGATGTCACCTATTTCAATAAAACATTGCAGATGTGTAGCATCAAGTGAGATATGAAAATATCAAAAATGTTTCTTCCAAAACCGTTCTCTTATTGAAATATTGAAATCATAATAGAGGCACCCTTAGGTAAAAAATGACGATAACCAATACACTATTCATCCATTGTATATTTCATCATTTTCCAACAACAATGCTTTTAGTCATGAAATTCTGTGGATATAAATTACAGTAGGTGCCATCCATGGTGACATACTGAAAACCACTTTTCAATGTGTTAGGCAGTGTAGAGGTTTTCAATAGGTCCTTTATATAACATCTATTTTGTGACAAAGATTTCTATCTCTTATGAGTGAACGATAAGCTGTCGCAGTTGAACTAAATACTATTGATCTATTATTATTAGGAGCAGATTAAAACTTTGGGCTTTTACTTTTGACCCGAACAAAAAATCTTCTCTGGTGTATATATGAGCTAATTTGGGTAAAAATTCGAATCCACTTCCAGATAAGCCGCCAAGTCGTGGTCATCAGATTTTGCTCAATTCAAGATATGTTGGATAGGAAAAAGTTTTAGAAATTGTGACCCAAGTCATTTGAAAAAATATTGTTTCGTTCCCGAGATATTAATAACTTCTCTAAAAGCAGTATCGCCAAAAAAAAACAGTTTTGGTGACTTTTGTAGCATTCATATCTCTGCAAAAATACACCCATTTGACTTGAAACTTTTACTGTGTTTATACCTCAGGTTGATGTACTTATCATAAAAGAATTAGTTCAAATGAGTGAACTATTGATGAGTTGATCTGCACTAACAGGCACACGACAAAATGATCATCTATCGGTGTTATGTGGATATATAGATTGCATGGACGGATTATTTAAGTAAGCTGAAATTTCGGCTATAGAAAGATCTCATTGAGCATCTACTATCATGAAAAATTCAGCATATTAGATTATTCCCATAGCTTAGAATACCTTCAACAAAATCATGACTTTCACGAACATCACTACTTTGAGAGGTTTGGATCTCACAAGAAATCCAGTCTATAGCAGTCGGTTTCATGTAGTTTTTAAGTACATACTGAGTACTAGAAAGCTATGCAAGAACGAGTTTAGGATCTTGTAGAATAGTCGGCGGAGCCTTGTTGAAAGATATTTAAAATCATCTGTTTACCATGCAAATTATACGCGAGTTCATCCAGCAACGAAGAGAAGAGCTATAAGATATGAAATAAATTCTATTCAATATTAATCAGCACGTGACCCTATATTGACTTTCATAACAAACTTCTTTGAAAATGACGCAAAGTTTTTTGAAGAAATCCCGTGGGGGTTTGTAGTTTTCGATAAAAGACTTCACTGAAAGCCCTGGATTGTGGTGCGAATATTTTTGGAAAAAAATATTTTTTATCATTTTCAAAGGATATTTTAGTGGCATGTACTAGAAGGCCATAAACTGATTAATAGTGGATAGAATTTTTTCCACAAGTCAAGCTCATCGACAGTCAATTCGCTTCACCCTAGACTAACATAATAGTCTAGAAATGTATATTCACCTATGTCCGTCTGTCTGCAACATGTAATACATGTGGCCACAACGACGGCACGATTGATCATATCCATGGAATAAATGATCAAATCTTTGGTTATTTATATCATTATTATGCTCACTTGCACTATAATTGTAGTCATTTGAACTATCATTGTGCCGTTTTGAACCGTCGATATGACGACTTGTACCATCACTGCGGCCCTTTTCTAACATTGATATGGTCATTTGTATCGTGACTATGGCAATCTGTGCCATCATCGTGGTGACTTGTACTACATGCTGCAGACAGACTGAGAGACACAGGTGAATTTCCGTTTTTAGGCCCTATTCTTTCAGTCCATGGAATATAACTTTTCTGTCCATTTCTGAACGAACTCGAATAGAATTTGTATGATAAACAGGTGATTTCGTGGTATCTTTCAATAAAACTTCGCAGACCATTGTACAAGATTCTAAACTCGTTCTTGCATAACATTCTACGTAATATTCACTCTGTACATTAAACCTAGATAAGTCCGACTTTTACAGACTTTCTGGGACGACTGGGCAGCTTATTTGGAAGTGGATTCGAATTTTTACCCAAATTAGCTCATATATACACCAGACAAGATTTTTGTGCGGGTCAAAAGTAAAAGCCCAAAATTTTGAAATCTGTTGCCAATACAGTCGAATCCGCTTATAAGAGCGCTATCGGGAACTCTAAAAGAGGCTCTTATATGCGGACCGCTCCTTTATCCGAACTATATGTAAAACAGTGCAAAAATTAATTCCTATCAACATTTATTAAGTAATACATAGGCATACATAAATTTACTTGAAGAAATCCGTAATTTTACTTTGAGTACGATTAATGAAAGCGTTTTTTTCAATCATGTCTTCGATATCATAATATGAATTATACTCTATTTAATTCTCTTCCAGATACTTGCGAACCATCGAAAGATGCATCAGTGCATCTTTATGAGAGACACGTAGCATCAGTTCATGAACAATTCCGGCTTCTTTTTCTTCTTCTAAATCGACCATTCCTTCTCGATTTTGTTTCACCGAATCGTAAATTTCGACATCCGTGCGATTTGCAAAACATTCGGCATCCTTATTGCACTCGACGAACGCCTCAAAATCTTCTTCTTGTATGGCTTCGCCGAATTCTGACACATCCAAAACCTTCTGCATTTCGTCCACGTCACTAATGTCGTCACTAACAAAAAACCCGGCTTTTCGAAAACAGTTTTCGATCGTAGTGGGCGAAACGGGAAACCAAGCTCGCTTGAGCACATGCAACGCTTTTAAAATATCGACGGATTTCACATAATCGATTACCGAAAGATGAAAGTGAATACATATAGAAAGTTCATTTTATTGCAAGCTTTCGACATAAACATGTGTCATCATCAGGCAAAGAACAGACAATTCTACAAGTTTCCGAGCAACTATCGAAATTCTTCTTTATGATTCATCGTTCTATTTCAATTCGAGATCCAATCGATGAACCATAGTTGTTAATTCTTCCCTTATGAGATCCATTCAAAAGGTAGTACTTTTGAATGGATGTGGTAGCCGACAATCTTGTCTGCCACAGAGCAGACATCCATTTCAAAAAGCGATATGGCTCTTTTATGCGAACTCAAATCGCAAAAAGGTGCCGAAACTACGCTCTTATAAGCGGACCGCTCCCTTATCCGAGGCTCTTTTAAGCGGACTTTGTCAGCACACAAAACAATGGAGAAAAAAACGGGAAATTTATAAACGGCTCTTACAGGCGGATCGCTCCGTTATCCGGAGCTCTTATAAGTGGACTCGACTGTATTTAGTCAAATGAAAACCTTCTACTTGTATACCATTTTCAGCATTATCTGTTTCGTAGAAAAATAATAGGCTAAAGATCAGTTTATTGACATAGAGTGCTCTTAATTTTTATTATATTTCACAATATTGAATTTGATAAAAGTTCGTCATCTGATGAAAGTTCATTTAATGTAGAAGAAAACACCATGGGTTCATTTGAAATATCTTCTGAAAATAATAGCAATTGATCTTCATCATCTAAAATCAACTAATATTACTTTATTTTTTAATAAAAGAAGAATTCGTCATACCGTTTCTCGTAGTTTGTGATGAGCAATTTGTATTATCACATTTATCAGTCCAAAATTCATCAGTTCCAATCTTGGAAGCTTGACGAAAAGGCATTCCACACATTAGTGCAGCATTGAATGCATTATTATTACGAGATATTTGTTCTACAACAATGTTAAATTAATAAAATACTTTTACAATGTTAATTATATATATGAAATACTTGTGTCAAAAAAATGTTTTTTTCGAGATGTTTGTTCTTGATTTGGATGAAAAATATTAGACCATTGTTCATGAACTGTTGTACAGCATCTACGAGCGAATTGAGATAGATCATTAGCAAGAAGTGATTTGACACGATCAGGTGAAGTTGTAATCAGACTAAGAAGAAGAAAA